TATATATATATATATATATATATATATATATATGAAGTGAATCCCAACTTTCAACACAAGTATATAATTTAGTGATTCTTCATCCCTTCTAAGGTTACAAACATTGACCTCTTCACCCCATACCCTGCCTATTATTTATAAACAAATAAAAAATATTTTCATTCCTGCTATCAGCAAAAAGTCCATAAAGGATGGTCAGAAATAACTATATATTGTTTTAACCCTGCTCAAATAAACCAATTTTATATTCCTTCCTTTTCCTCCTAACAGTCTTAATCTTTAGTTTATTCAAATATTGCTATAGGATTTGACTTTTCTTCATTTCTTCTTTAGCCCATCACACAGAGTTTTTTCAAGGCATTAATAAGCCTCTTTTAAACCCAATAGAAAAAAAATCCAAGTCACTCTCTTGGTTTGTCATTTGTGATTTCCCTTTTAAAATTTAAAACCTTGGATGGTAAAATAACAAAGTAGATCCATTTTCTTAAAACATTTTCTCATTCTCTTGGCCTGTCAATTGGAAATCAATTTTCAATACCATCTCTATCCTGTTAGATAATACATTTTGTCATACATCTATCATTTCTTCAAAAAAAGTATTTTGGACATAGCCTGTCATTAAAAACAGACATTATTGCAAACATTGTGGATAGTGTAGCTATTATTTTATAACTCCATTCTTCAAGTCTCTTTCAATATTTTTATTGTTATAATATTTTGCAGTATTTATGGGCTTGTAATTTTTTTCTACTTAAAAACTTTAGTCCTCTCTGTTATCATTTTTGAAATCATGAAATTGCTTGCCTTTGTTTCCTCTTGTAAAAACCAAATAGGATTATTTCCCATAAAAGTTGTTTGCTCCTTATAATTAATCTTATTGTAAAAGAATCAATATTCTAAAATTATTTGGACCCTTAGTCTATTTATAATTTTCTAAGATCAAATTTCACCAGACATCCCTGGAAGTCTGACATTCCATCAATATCATTCGTTTGCATAATGTCAGATAAATATCCTAGACACTATCCTTCTACCATTAAGATTATATTTATGCCCTGACACTGGCTGTCTTGATTGTTATGCTATCACAATTAGTACATTTATTTCATTTTTATTTATTGATACTATGCTATATTTGTCTCTGCATTTTAGTGGGGAAAAGCCTTCTCACTGCCCCACCGTTAAGGAAAAATATATCAAATGGTGACCCAATGCAGGGACTTTTCAGAGCTGGGAGCCTTGGAATGATCTTTGCAAATACTTTATTGATATTTTAATTTCTGTATATAAACTACTTATGTACTTTGGTATTTATCTTTACAGTATCTGTAAGAAATGGTAGAATCAAATAATTAATATGTTTTCAGATGCTATGAACTACATTTGTAATATTTATGATTAAAACTGTTCAAATAACTAGATCTCTCATTTTCAGGAGGTCATACCCACTTGTTTTTATGCAAGGAATAATTTTATGCAGGGATAGTTTTAATCAGGCCTTGAATGATTCACAGCTTTTCTCTATCTACAAATGATTACATATTGCTATTGCGCTTTCGAAGTCTAACTCTTAGATAGTTTAAATTTTTAGCAGGGAGAACAATCCTATCAGTAGGGATAGAGAACTCTGAAAGCAGGACCATACCATTCAGTGTGTTCAGATGAGTAACAGAAAAAAGAATCCTATTTATTCATACCTTGTAAATCAACATGCAAAATTTGAGGCTACAGCCGATAGGGATAAACCAGTTTCACACAATATTGCTCCTTCCTCCATAGAATATCAACAAATGAGCATGAGTAAAAACAGTAACTAAAATTATGTGTGTTTATCCATGATACTAATATAAAATCTTTATTGGCAAAATGCAATTTTTCTTCTGTAGCCAGTTTCACAGTAACTAAATGCAGTAAGGGTCACATCCTCTCATGAGGGATTATGGATTTGGTTTGTCTGGATCATCATCTCCAAACAAAAAATCAGAATTTGGCTGTCTTGATGGGATATTCAATAGATTTTGGATAACACTGGCTGTGGAATTTTAACCTGTGGGCAAACTACCAGGTGAATGGTAACATTATCTTAGTTCCTAAAAGTGGTGCTGGGAAACTATTATTTTGTACTGTAGCAGCTGTTTTATGTGGTTCACCATAAATCCATTTTGGAAATTGTCCTAGATGCTATTGAATAAGTATCTGAAAAAGTTGGGAGAGGTTCTTAAGGAACTTGGGATGAAGCATCACCAGAGTGCTGACAACACCCAACTCAGATTTCTCCTTTTCATCAGAGCCAGGTGTAGTAATGAGCTTTCCAACATTTCTACTCAAGGTAACTTGTGTATGGAATAGGGTGAACTGACTGAAACTCAATCCTGAAAAAGTGGATTTTGTTATGACAAAAAGGCAGGGAATCCAGGCAGCTGTGGCTTTAGTTATCTGAAAAAGGGATCAAGGGTTAGGGCTGTTAATTCTAAATGATCTATATACATTTAAAATAATCCGAGACTTAAGCAGAAATCAAATATTTATATAAATTGGCAGGATCTATCTGACTAACTGTGAACTTAGTATTTTTGTGGAAAATAACGTTTGTGTACATTTTCATCAGTTATTGTAGAGAGGCAGGGGTGCAATTCAGCAGGTTCTGGAGAACCGGTAGCAGAAATTTTGAGTAGTTCAGAGAACCAGCAAATACTACCTCTGGCTGGCCCGATTGGGGTGGGAATGAAGTTTTTCTAATATCCTTCCTCAGGAATGGGGAGGGAATTGAAATTTTACAGTATCCTTCGCCTGTCAAACCCAAGCCACGCCCACCGAACCAGTAGTAAAAAATTTTGAATTTCACCACTGTAGAGAGGTGATTGTAAAAGGCACCAACAACTTAAAACATTTGTAGCCCATTCCACAGATGCAGCTTTTTCTCAGAAATAAAGTTCATGCTTCAGTGCGATTTTACAATGCAATAACGCAACGCTTCCGACAAGAAGTCAGATGCTGGGTGACACTGTTGTGTCTTATCTACCAGAGAGTTAAGATCCACTAAACTTGATAGGCTTTGCTTCCAATTTGGGCCTTCCAATGAAGCTGCAAAGCAACGTGGGCTGCCCCGGCGGCATCCAATCTTTCTCCTTCATGTTTGGTTTCCGAAGTCCCGCACAGCGCCCGGGGCCAGGCCGGCCTTTCTGCCGTCCTTTCCTTCGCCGAACGGGGGCTGCCAAAAGAAGGGAGCGCCCCCTCCGCCCGCACGCTTTCCCTTCGCTTTGGGACTGCAGGTCAGAGTCATCTGGTCGGCCGGCGGGCTGCAGGGTAGCCCGAACAAGGGGCTGGTCAGCGTGAAGGGACGTCCGCGCCCACCAGGCGGCCTCAGCTCCCGCTTCCCCTCGCCCGCCGCGGCCAGTTGCAGGGCGCGGATCCCGCTCGGAGAAGGCGGAGCGGCAGCTCCTCCCTCAGCCAGGAGCCAGCGGGGGCTGGTCGGACAGGCAACCTCGTCGGGAAACTCCAGTCCGCCGCCGTTGCCGCCTTCGCCGCCTTCGCCGCCGCCGCCAGTTAGCCCAGAAGAGACGCGAGCGAGGCCACAAAGATCTCTTTGTGCACCGGCGGCCGCGGCCCCCTTGTCCCTCGTTCTTGGCCGGCGCCAGCATGGGCGCAGCCAGCGCCGCCTTCTTAGTCCTGCTGGCAGCGTCCAGGCTTCTTCCTCTGATCGCGGCAGGTAAGCCCGAAAGCAGCTCCGACGGCTCAGGGCGTGCGAGGGTTGAGCACCGCCTGGCAGCCGCCCGCTGCTCTTCATCCCCAGAGCAAGCGAGGGTTGCAAGAGGAGGTTTACCCTCGGGCTGAGCCCACTTGAAAGCAAACTGTTGAACGTGGTGGCGAGACCTCGCCTGTTCCTCCTGGCTCCTCGTTTGCACCCAGATGGAAAGGGAGCCTTCGGGGGCGGGAGAGGAAGGGCCCCGCCGTAACTCCCATCAGCCCCCCCCCCCCCACGAGAGTGAGAGTCTCTCTTAAGCCAGCCTTGTGCGGGGGACAAGAGATGTCTTCATCTCTGCCCTTTCCTGAGCGCGCCGAACCGATGGGCTTTCCCTGCCGACTCCCTGACTATGAACAGCCTTCGCTGCGGACTAAGCGCGCCTTGGAAGCGCGGGGACTGTTCTCTGGGAGGAATTCTAGCCTTTGCAGCCTTACTTAGAAGTAGTAAGCCATTCCGAACCCCGAGGAGCTGCGTGCACCTAGACTCGCTTTCGCAGCGCTTTTGGGGGCTCACCAGCGGTCTTGATTAATTCTCGTAAGGGATTGGGGGCTAAATGGCCTCGGGAGTCCTTTTTCCCGCGGTTTCAGGGTGGGGGGGAAACTGTCCTGAAGAGACCACGAAGATTGTTCCCTCCTTCCATTTGCCAGATCAAATGCCGGAGGCTCCTTTACAATGCCATCGTCGTGTTGGGAACTGTGTGGTAGAGCTTGTAACATCACTGCCGCGCCATCCTCGCCTTAACAATTTTAAGTCTCAGCGTGGAAGATAAGGAAAAGATTACTGCCTTTACATCAGACACGAGGGATGGAAAAGTTAGCCGCTTTTTCTCCCATCCGACTCTATTCTGAAGTGAAATGGCTACTAGGGATAGCAGGGTTCCCCCCCTCCTTTTTTTTTGCTGGAAAAGTGGGTGGAGAAATACAAAGAACAACCCCCCCCTCCTTTGACTACACTGTGTTTCTCAATGGCAGGGGGGGTTATGACCAGCTCCCCCCTTAAAGGAAGGGGGATGTCTACTTCTTTGTTTCAATAAACACTTCTGTTGCCTCTCTTTCCAGCTGAGTGTGGTTAATCGGTGTTGAGTGAAGCCAGAGGCAAACCAGGAAACTACCAAGGGAAATTTGCCTGAGTTTGAGTGGCTTGTTTGGTTGCTCTCCCCCTTTGTTTTTTTGGGGAGGAGAATCTTATTTCCTGTGCACTCCCTGGCTGGCCCAAAACTTTCGGGCTCAGGAAACATTAGGACTCGGTTCAACAAGCTTTGCGATTGTTTAGAGAACCTGAATACAAGCGGCCCTATTAACATCTGACCTTGCGCCATGGTGGGGTGGCAGGCTGACTGCTGTGGCCAGTTCATCCGGCATCTCTTTCTCTTTTTTTCCTTCTTTAATAGCAGTAAGATTTATGAGAACAAGGAGGGGGGGAGTCTTAAGTGTGTTCAAGACTCCGGTGGAAGACTTAACAGTACTCGCAAAGGCAGTTGCCTGATTGTGCATTCAACTGTGAAAAAGTGGTGTTCCTTGGGAGATTAAACAAGTCTTACATTTGGTGTCTCTCGCATCTTCTTTGCCTTCCTGGTGACATGAAGCAGGCAAAAAGGTGCTATTGGGCCATCCTTTGATCCTGAGTGTAAATCATTCTATGCATAGCCACCTTCTAGTACTCTTCCAGGACTACCCTAATTTGCCTTGCACTCTAATGGAAGGGAGAGATGGCATGCTTCATCATTTGAAAGTGGAACAATTTGCTCCTAAGCTTCCATATTTAATAAATACATTGATAAAGACATAAATAAATGGATGAATCTGGCTTGACTTGAAGAAGAATGGGGTGAATCTGAGCCCAGTGGAGAAATAACAGGCTATAGGCGAGATTAGAGAGGGACTGTTAATAAGCTAGAGGCTTAAAACAATGTTTCTTCCTTTTGTTTACCCACTCAATCTATTTCCTTCACCCCAGGAAGTGACAGATGCTTAGATTTTCTGTTATTTGGCTTGGAGGTTTCAAGGGTTTGCCATTTGTTGCTTTATTGTGGGATGGGAGATAACATTTCTGAGTTCATTTGCAGGAGGGGCAAGGAACCTTATGGCTGCATGGGGACTGGTTGGAGGGCAAAACAGCAGAGCTGGTTTCTAAAAAATTATATGTATCTTCTATTACTTCCCTGGCTTCTGTCCTAATGGGAAAATGCAAGGGAAACAACCCCAGTATTAGGAGATAGTTGCAAAATGCTAGAAAATGTAAGGAGAGTGTTGGTGATTATATATTTAATTCTTGCAAAGTGAGAACGTCAATCTCTTTCAGTAGGAGTTGCAGCCCAAAATAACTTTCCAGCTCAACCCCAATTTTCTTGCAACTGCTGGATTTGTTTAAGGTGATTAGTAGTAAAGAGCACTATTTCCAGTTCTAATTACTTCCAGTGTCATAATAGAGCCTTGTTCTCTTTTTAATAAGAATTATTCTTTACTGTAATAACTTTGTAGATCTTGTACCCTTGTGATTGAAATGCGTGCTTTTCTTCTTTAAGAGAAAGAAGAAATAATTAATAGAGGACTGACATCTTGGCCAAAAACTAGAAATAACTTAATGTGCCCTTCCCCTTTATTTTCCTTGAGGTGTCTCATGCTTAAGAAGAATCCATATCTTTTCTTTCTGTGGAAAACTTGGATATTTCTGACAGAGCAGTCTATACATTATGATTGTTATTATTATCATGTCAAATTTAGTCCAGTTCAGGATAAAATCCTCTTCACTGAACATTATGGATTGTAAACTACCACACTGTTCCAATGTAGATTGGTAGATGAATGTTTTCCACCTTTCCAGTCTACGGCTGAGGAAAAATGACAGGCCCAAAGTCACCCAGTCAACTTCTGTACCTAGAATCTTCCTGCTTCCAGGCAAGTGCCTTAACCACTGCACCTCATTGTCTCTTATATACACTTACTCAGAATTCATCTCCATTGTATTCAGTGAAAAGTTTGTGTAGGTAAATGTGCATAAAACCAAAAGTAGCTTTGCATGATTTGACTATAAAAATAAGCATTGCAGAAATTGGCAGATAGGAAGAAAACTATACAGGTTTTCTGTATAGTTTTTACTGAGATGTAAAGTTTTTACTGAGTATAGTTTTTATTGAATTTTTGTATAGTTGTATAGTTTTTACTGAGATACGACTGGCCATTTTTATTTCAAGGGACAAAAAGTACCAGCTAAACTGTGAATAGCATGGAAAACATCCACACATATTTGTGGCTTACTGTAATAGAATGAAACTTACTTTGACCAGCCTTTTTGCATTTCTGCTGAGAGAAGATACAATAAGGATTTTTTTTATCACCAGCCATGGGGCATAGCTTCTGTTCATTTTTGAATGAGATAGACTACAGTGGGAGCATGGTAGGAATAAATCAACACAAGGCCTTCCTCTTTACTATAGAGACAATATTTTACTGCTGTTGTGTGTACAGTATGTTCTGTCATATTTAAGACCTGTTTGACGTATCCTATCTTATTTCTAGGAGCATAGATGGTGTTTATAAATAAATTGCTTTTGTGGCAGTTCTTAGGGTGACTGTAATGGGCACATTAGAGATTAGATGATAAACTTTCCAATGATAAACTTGCCAAACTGATTCTTGCTAAGCTTTTTGAAAAAAAAAATCATTCACTTCTATGGGAATTACGTGTTAAGATTGCTGATTAAGTTTCTGACTCTATTCCTATACACTTTTATTTAGAAATATGACGTTTCTTTATTCATATACCAAAATCATATGGAAGTTGCTGCCTTGTGGTATAATTTCAGATAGTTTCAATATGTATATGAATGACATACTACTTGGGTGGGTCTGGTTATGTGGTTTCTTTCAGGTCTAATAACTATTTGCTATTCTGGTAGGTTAAAACAGACTTAGGAATGGTGCTTTCCAAATATTTTAGATCACAGTTCCCATCATCCCATAATATTATGAGATGTAATCCAGATATTTTAAGGTAATCAAATTGTCTTACAGGAAAGACAGTCTAATTAGTCCCATTCACATGTATACATGCATGATCATGTAGTTTTTGAATTATTCTTATACTTCATATGTAGTTGTTATTTCTTAATGATGGATATATAAGTTAAATTGACTAGACACACATTAATCTGTAATCTGTGGTTCACAAATCAAAATAATTTATTTGATACAATATATTTAGAGAAAACTTGATAAACTATATTATACTTGGCTACATATGAGCCCAGTCATTCTGTAAAAAGGAGACTTAATGGTGCATTATTACATATATGTATATCATAGTAAGTTCATGCTTTTGAAGGCTAATTCAAATAAGTGATACTTCTAAGGTACATTAAAAGCAATTTTGTTGTATATTCAGTGTGATACGGTTGACTTCCATCCCTTTAAAGAAAATGCTACTCTACTAAGAATACTTAATGAGGTTACATCATTCTATGCTAATGTTACATTTTGATTTGTTCTAGAATGCTACTCTTTCTACAAGAATATTACTATGGTAAGCATCCCAGTTGGGAAGTAAAAAAACCTATTACTATAAAAATGGACATGCCCATAAATTAACAAGAATTGTTGATTTTGAAGAAGGTTGATTGATGCTACTGTCTTATTTATTACTGAGAGAAAATCCAGAAATAAATGGGTCCTTTTGAATAAACATGTAGAGAACTATCATCTGATTAATCTTGCCTTTACCCAGCCAGGCACTTTTCTACCAGTCCCAACTCCAGATAAATGGAAAGTTGATGTAACACTTGGTGATCTGCCTTGTGAACATCTTACCTAGAAAATTTTATAGAAATGTTCTCACATGAATTAGATATAGTGCCAAATGGTAGGATCCCCACACCTGAAAGTATCCAATGCGCTGCCGGACTTTTGTAGTTTGAGCTCAATGCCTTCCTCCTCCAGACCGCCAGCCAGACCCTACTAAGCCATCCC